ATTTGTAAATACCATTTATAGACGGTCTTTTTATCATATTTCCAGAAGAGCTTTAATAAATCTATGAAAGAACCAAATTTATGATTGTTTTTGTGACAACGATTCATGTTTCAGTGGTTCCATCACAGAAAATTCAGAGTTGTAGGACTGTCATGATGAACAGGATCTTTACAGGTGGATGGAAGCTTTGGTTCACGACTGTGTCTGCAGGATAATGAGCTTCAGTCTGTCTGTCTGTCTGTGCAGGAGGAGCAGGCAGACAGCTGTCTCAGAGCTCGTCCTAACTTCTTTTACCGTAGGTGAGTGTTGCCTTCTTTAAACTTCATTTAAAACTGTTCTGACGTCACCACATCGATCTGGTTGCGCTCTTGTTTCCATGACAACAGGAAGCGAGCCCTCAGGTCCAAGTTCACCGGTGCAGAGTTCACAGCCGGTAACCTTGACGACAGCAGCGACATCACCGACTCCGACTGATGGACCAAAAACGCTGTGTACTTTTACTGTAGCAGAGTATTTCTACTCTGCAGAATCAGTGCTTTTACTGTATCCTGCTGAAATCAGGTGTTGGTCCGGTTCCCTGCTGTTAGATGAGCGGTGCTGGTTGTGACTCCTTGAATGAAACCTGACTCAGATGTTGTGTCTTTTACAGTCACTGTTCAGGCTTCTGTCTGTGTTAATAAAGCTTGTTCTGAACTCACACTGATGCTGTGTCCCTGTGAGGCCTTTAAAGGCTGAACGTACATGTTGTAAATCGTTGTTGTTGGGCGTCCCTACAGCTCCAGTTGACCCATAAACAGGCCCTGCCAGCGGTCCTGGGTTCGAGTCCGGCTCATGATGATTTGCTGCAGGTCCCCTTTAAAAAGTTGTTGTTTTCTGTATATTTAAATTCTTTCGCTTCATCAGAGCCTCGGTTCTGCTCAACATTTGTGGCCAAATGACGCGCGAGTCACAATGAACGACTTTGTCAGCGGACCCTGAACGCGTCTCGACGCCCTTTGAGCTCGTTGTCATGGAGACGGAAACAAACGGTCAGAGCGGCTGAGCGGAGCCGGTACCGACAGGTGAGTTACCGGACAGAACCACTGCGAAGCAGGCAGGAAGCCGAGAAAAAAAACTCTTTGAGGCCGCTGAGAAGCGTCAAGTCACTGCTCCAGCCGGAACCGTCCTCCTCCAGCCCGGCCCGGAACCGTCCTCCTCCAGCC